TGTAAACTGAATCGGGTCCTAAATTATTTAGGGTTTCAAATCCGAAAAGTTGTTGGACGAATCGTTGTTACCCGAGGCTTTACTGTACAGAGGAATCACGTGAGATTGAATATTTCTGTGCTTTCTTTGATGGTGCAATCATAGACTTACTGTGTACATAAATGTTATCAGTACACGTATGAAGCTGGCCTGATACATAAATGTTATCAGTACACGTATGAAGCTGACCCAGGCCCTGGCCCCTTGCCACACATGCGTCAATGGAGTGATGTCGGTGTTTCCAAACTGTACATGTTTTTTTTTTCATTGCTGATGCTGATGGCACATGTGAAAAAAACACGTACTTCAGGAGTACTGGATATCTCCTGATGACGTCACAGCAACTCCATTGCTTGCAAAATTCATATACAGAGACCGGTTTGCCTCCATCCTAAGTTATCTACACTTCATAGATAATAACATTCCTGTGGTTGGTGACAGACTTTGGAAAATAAGGAAAGTTTTTACGATGCTGAAGGAATGTTTTATGAAGTCCTTCAGACCGTTTCAGAATGTAGAGGTGGATGAGTCTCTGTTGCTTTTCAGAGGACGTGTTACTTTTAGACAATACATTCCCTCTTAATGACATCGCTTTGAGATAAAGTTCTTTGTGCTGTGTGACTGCGATACTGGATATGTCTTAGATCTCGTTTTTTACACAGCAAGTGATGTAGACATACCCAAGGACGACCCACATGGTTTCTCTGGCGCTGTTGTCAAGAAAATTATGGACAGCTACTTTGGCCAAGTTACTGATTGAACATGACACCGGTTCTCATGGGACTGTACGCAAGAACAGGAAACACTGGCCCGTGTTTACTGGTAAATCTGCACGAGGAGAGATCCAGCTGAAGCAAGCAGACAAGAGTGACATGCAGGTTGGCGCAATCGAGTGTGTATGGAAAAGTGTCAAATGGTACAAGTACAAGAAAATGTTCCTACACCTCTTGGACATCACCATCCTGAATGCGTACAACTTGTACCTCATAAAAAAAAACCCTCTCTCAGGGTTTTTCAGAAGCAAGTTATAACACAACTCCTAGAGGAGTATGGCAACATTGTGGCAGCTGTACCACAACATCACAGCCAAGCAGGCCTATCTGACAGACTCCTTGCACATGACTGGGTTGTTCGTCACTACCTTGACGACCTCCCAACTCTTCAAAGTGGTCGTAAGGTGCAGAGGTGGTGTTACGTCTGCAAGAACACCACAAAGCACCCAACTAAGCATACAGACATGACAATGTGGTAAACCTTGCTTTATGGAGTATCACTCTAAGAAAACATTCTAAAACAATGTGGCACGTGCTTGTAAATAGTAGTGTATATGTAAGGTACAAAGTGTCATATTTGTGTAAAAGGTACAAAGTAGTGCACATTCACTCGTCACTACACACGAGCGCTCGCAGACAGCTACCCAGGCGTCAGGGTTTCACCACCTCGGCACCCTACGTGTGGTCAGAGGGAAGCTTCTTGGTAAGTACAGTGGGGTATGCTATAACGAACGTAATTGGTTCCAGAACCTCGTTCGTTATAGCATTCGTTCGTTATAGGATTAATCCGTTCCAGGCCCCCAAATACAACCACTTAACACTGAAAAAATTATGTGGAAAATGTAAAAAATACGGTACTTTATCTTACCTTAGTGTTATTCAGCATGCAGGTACCCCTAAACACTGGCACATCACTATCACTTCCACTGGGAGTCTTGGCTTTAAGGTCCTCAAACAATTGTTTAGCCTTCTCACAAATTATAGCTTCACTAATGTTACCACCTGCCATTTCTTTCTCCTTTATCCACACTAAGAGTAAATTTTCCATCTCTTCAATCACATTACACTTTGCTTTGCTAAGTCTAAAGATTCCCTTAGCCACTTGCACAGTTTTTAACTCCTCTTTATTCTTCAAAATCGTACATATAGTCGATTTAGCCATCCCATATTCATCACTAAATGACAGTAAATATTCAGTTGTAAATTATATTTTAATTACCTGTTAATTATTTTTTAATTACTGTAGTTACACAAATAACGCGAATTTCCACATCAAAAGACGAAATTTCAACAATAACAGTGGTGCACTGGCTACACAATGAGACAAAGATGGCACCTGACGCTCTTGTTGTGGGTCGCGGTACAACAATATTCATGCGCCAGGCGAAATAGTCCCGTATTCATCCGCGTTCGTTGTACGAGTTGCGTTCGTTATAGCATTCTCAATTTTATAGGTAAAACCGTTCGTTATAGGAATATTCGTAGTAGGATCCGTTCGTTATAGCATACCCCACTGTACCTTCTTTTGTTGTTTCATTTCCATTGTTTGTCCATTTTTATCATGTTGTATAAAAGTAATATTACTAAAAGTACTGTACAGTGATCCCTCGATTAACGAGCGCCTCAGTTAACGAGATTTCGGTAAACGAGTTACCTTCCATAAGATTCTTAACTTCGGTTAATGAGCAATCCCTCGATTAACGATTTTTTTACGAGCCGACCTCAACATGTTTTCGCTTGCATTTGGCGGTCCACCAGCTGTAGTATTTGTCCACCAATACAGTAATCGGGTTTAGGGCTTAAATTCCTTACTATTTTAATAAATATCAAGAAGTTTACACTATTCAATAATTTTAAAAGTTTAATATTAACTTTTTTAGTCATTTTAACAATTATTGAACATAATTGAAGGTAAAGAAACTAGTTTCAAGCGCGCCATCCAGCCTGGCAATACACCAAACAGGCGCCAGTCTCTCTGTCTTTTCAGTGGAGGTAACATCTTGCTTGAGACTTTTCAACTAAATGCTTTTTTTTCTGTGTTTGCAAGCAAATTATTGGTCATTTTGAAATTTATTTTACATATTGACAATATATAATGCAGTGCAGTGTTGATTTAAAGCAAATAATCTTGAATTACGGTACACCAAGAGAATTAAAATTTTATGGGTGAAATGGCGCCATGGGGTGACTTCTCTTCCACCCCAATGCCTTCTCTTCTCCCTTCTCCTCCACCCCCATTCTAATTCTAGTCATCATCAGCATCATCATTATCCAGGAACCTTCTACATAGACACCTCAAGGTAAGTGTACTTTTCTACCTTTTTTGTTGAAATTAGGCAATTTTCAGTGAGCTGGAACCAATTACCCAAAACCCCATTGAAACAATGGTTTCAGTTAACAAGTTTTTCGGTTAACGAGCAACCTGCTGGAACAGATTGTGCTCGTTAACCGAGGGACCACTGCAGTTGTAGTGTGGAATTATTAGATGATAATGCTATGATTATGTTATAAATGTACTGTATTTATTTGTGGAATTATTGTTCCGATAATTATTTGTATGACATACGTGCTCTCCCTAACACATACAGCCTGGCGACAGACTGAGTGTGTGTCACCGAGCACTTTTTATGAAAAGTAATGCAAATAAAATACAGTCTAAATTAATTATTTATAGAAAATAAGTATTATGATCAGTACATATATGCCTTATTGGCCATCTCAGACACAAAGGTAAGCAGAAAAATGACCCCTAAGTTGTAGTGACTGGAAGCGCCAGCCGTCAAAAAAAAAATTTCCCCTTATTTCCCTTGTCACGGAGGCGCCAAGGAAGTTTCCAGAGGGACAATATATAGTTTTTCTTATGTCTTTTTTATTGTTTTATCATTCATAAAGGTTAAAAATTATATTTGGATAAGTTGAATTTTCTTGTTTTACCCCACGTCGGGGGTACAGCCGGCAACACCCTAGCCCGGAGCATACGGGTTAATTGTTTTGTACTGATAGTAGTATTGTAAGAAATTTTCTGACTGTGATACATGCGTGTTTGGGGACTGGCTGGGAACATATCCCACTGAACCCTCATGTTATAATGCTTCCTATTTACGATGATTCACCTAGCGGCAGGTTTTCAGGAACGCAACTTCATTGTATCTCAAGGTTTACCAGTATAAGGGAAAAGTGAGAGTTTACTGTTGATTCCACTTTTTGCTGTACCCACATCATTGGATCAGTCAGTATAAAATACAGATGACAAGAAAGAGTAAATGATGAGGAAGACGACGGTGGAATCAGAAAAAAAAAAAAAAATGTAAAAAGTAGCAGTTACAGAATTAAAAGTAAAAATAAGTGGTGGTTAGGTGCACAGTCGCCAAAATGTTTATTCTGTACACATCTTTTTCTTTGCTAGTTTTTTTTTAATCTTTTGAAAGTTTTGGATGATGGATTATTACTTTGCACATACTAAGAGAAATTAGACCAGTTAGAATTTATCAGTCACCAATAGCGAAAATCTCTTTTTGGTTTAAATTTCATATTCTATCCCTGCCCCTTTTTTGAACTTACCCAAGTCCCATTTAATTTTATCCAGTTTTTCTTTTTAGTTTTTAAAGTTTTAGCCTCACTTCACTCATTACTGGGACATGATCTGACCCACAATCAGCCCCGAGATAGGTCTTGGTTCTGGTTATTGAATTTCTGAATCTTTCCTGAATTAAAATGAAATCTATTTGATTTATGACCATGTTGTTTACATTGTTCTGGGGTGAGACCCATGTACAGCGATGCATAAGGTGTTGTTCAAACCATTTATTTGCAATTATCATCTTGTTTTCCTTACAAAAGCCAATTAATAATTCTCCTCTCTCATTTCTATTACCATGTGGTTCTACTTCTGGTGTTTCTTTCCCTTTCCCAACTTTTGCATTAAAATCACCCACTATAATCAGACACTCATTAAACTTTACGGCATCTTCTTCTTTCTTTAAATCATTGTCTTCATTAAACTAAATACTGGAGATTTGATTGAATCGTCAGATAAAAGAGGGCCAACCTACTACAATCACTAAGATTTTTTTAATATTGTGAGAAACCCAGATAAGATTAAATATTTACATTTATGTCAGGAAGAAATTATTTGGTTCCTGGAATTATCAGCAATGAAAAACTTACCATATTACATGATGAACTCACCTTGTAAGGCAGACATGAGCTGCTGGGAATTCTGAACACTGACCCCACTTGTACCTATTAACGTGGCACCTGCAACAATATTAAACAATGAAGCCATTAGAACATCCATTAATATTTGTTGTCTAATAGCAAACTCACTCAAAAATTTTAAAATTATTCTTTCATTAAGTTTTCAATCATATACAGTAATACCCCGATTAGCGTTCAGGATATGTTCCTGGAGAACGGACGCTTACCAAAACAGCGCTCTGAAGGGTCATTATACCATTGCATATGAGGACCTCCAGACCATAACCTGCTTAGTGCCAAAATAGAAAATGGAGGAAAATGCTCAGGTAGGAATGTGTAACATACAATAGTCTTTTCAGAGGACTCTCACCCACATGTACATGTTCCCAATTGGCTCTCTTTGGACTTAACCAGGGGGACAGAGGAGAGGTTGGCTCTTAGCAGGTTATGGGCTGGAGCTTCTCATATTTGGAGATGCGTTCCTGATGATATAATTTTTTTTTACCTATGTGATATATACAGTATTGTATGTGAAGGGTTCAGGTATTAACAAACACAGATTATTACAGTAACATATCTTTTACCAGTTAATAACAATAAACATTTTTCTGTACTATACAATATTGTATCATTAATGAGTCATGGTAGAATGACTGAGAGGCAGTGTGTCAGTGAGACACAGTGGGTGGGAGGCAGTGGATATTGTACGGATCTACTCTGGCATAACCTAATCAAACTCTGCAACAGCGAAATTATGATTTTGGTAGTAGTAGTACCCCATCAGCCAGTAAACCAAAACTGACCCTCCCTCCCTTCCGTCCCAAATCACAACAATCTACCTCTCCCACTGCTCTCTCTCCTTCACAGGTTGACATCATGGCTGGGAAATGTGTTTGTCAATGCTCAGGCCGGAATCAGAAATGAACAACCTGTATTTGTGTGAGAAGTAACACAAATGTGGGTTGCAGGAAAGGGACCAGCTGTCAAAGTCCCTATGGCAGAGATCCATCACCTTATGACGACATGACAGTAGTGAACCCACTCAGTCGGAAAATACAGTTAGTGACGTGAATGACATAGTGAATGACAAAGAAATGATCCAGATGACTTGCCTCATAACCAATTACACTGATAACTCCCCCCTGGCCCCACTAGATCTTCAAATGCCGGCCATAATACCCCATTTATTCTGTCAGAGAACACACGCAAGGTCTAAATGCAAAGAAAATGTGGCAGCAATGAATAGGAGATTAATAATGTGGCAGAAAGGGGCCCTTGATGATCTCCTACGCGAAGCAAGAACACTGCAAGAGTGTCTAAAATTCATAGGAGATCGAAAGCAAAACACTGAGAATGTTGCCAGAAAATTTGGTCACAAGATGCGTGAGGGAAAAATGTCCTAGGCGGTAAGATCTTTCACAGGGGAATCTTCCGGTGGTGTGCTGCCAAGAAACAGAAAGAAATTACAACAACTGAAGGAAAAACATCCCCCTGCAAGTGCAGAGGAAGGCATCAGGTTCCAGGGTACCTATATCCCTCCAAATGCTGTCCAGTTTGAGAAAATAACAGGTGGGATGGTGTGGGGAATAAAGCACTGAAAGAACAAGGAGGTGCAGGCCCTTCAGGTCTGGATGCAGACGGTTGGAGAGTCATCCTCAGCACTAACAAGTTTAGTGCCACAGCAAGTGATCTCTGCAATGCCACTGCTGCCCTGGCAAGAAAGCTAGCAACCTCATGGTGCCACCACCTCCATGCTCTGATGGCCTGCCGCCTCATTCCCCTTGATAAAAATCCAGGATGTATGCCTATAGGGGTGGGGGAAGTGCTGAGATGGATCATTGGAAAATGCATAATGGAGGTGGTAAATGATGTCAGGGCAGCTGCAGGGAACCTGCAAGTATGTGCTGGCCACCAGGCTGGGGGTGAAGCTGCCATTCACGCCATGAGAAAGATATTTGAGCAGCCTGATTGTGAGGCAGTACTACTGGTTGACGCTTCCAATACATTCAACATAATCAACCGCAAGGCTACACTGCACAACATCAAGATCAAGTGTCCAAGTTTTGCAATGTATGTTGAAAACACCTATAGGAACCCGTCAGACCTCTATATAACAAGCTTCAAGGACCTAAGAGGAGACACCACCATAGAGTTAACTGACGGAACAACGCAAAGGGACCCTGTCGCCATGGCAATATACTTATTAGGCCTGTCTGTGCTCCAACACACAAAAAAATATGAGACCACCGCAGTCAAGTAAGTGGCTTATGCTGATGACCTAACATGAGCAGGAAAAGTGGAGGACATCAAAAAGTGGTGGGACCTGATGACATCACATGGTCCACAAATAGGGTACCACCCAAATGCCAGCAAGTCCTTCCTCATTGTGAAGCCAGAACACTATGAACGGGCAATGGAGGTGTTCGGCGGAAGTGAGGTACAAATAACAAAGGACAGCCAAAGACATCTAGGTGCGGTGATCGACACGAAGAACTTCAAGACCGAGTACGTAACGGGAAAGGTAAATGAGTGGGTCAGGGAAATCCAAGCTCTGTCTAATATTGCTAAAACAGAGCTACATGCGGCTTTTGAGGCAATCACCCACAGAGTCAAGCATCGCTGAATTATCTGATGCGCACTATCCCTGATGTCGGGCCCCTCCTCCATCCTCTGGAAGAAGCTATCCGCCTCAATTTTATTTCAAAATTAGTGAAACGCCTTCACTTAACCCCAGCAGAAAGGTCAATCCTTGCACTACCACCGAGACTGGGATGAATGGGATTGACCAATCCAGAGGAGCTGAACATCAGAACTCAGTCAAGCTCACGGCAGCCCTCACTGAGCATGTAATAGCTCAAAATGCAACAAGTGAGGTGGATACCAAGGAATTAAACAAGATTCGACGGTCCATTACAACAGATCAACAGCACACCCAAAGTGATAAACTGCAGCAACTGATGCTCCAAGTGCCAGAGAACTTGAAAAAAAATTGTAGCTATAGCGCAGGAGGTGGGCGCCTCGAACTGGCTAACAACGTTAGCAATAAGGGCAAAAGGTTTCAGTCTTAATAAACAAGAATTCACAGATGCCATTGCTCTAAGGCAGTGGTTCCCAACCTTTTTTGGCTGCGACCCTAAATTTCCCAACAATACAGTGTCGTGACCCTCAGGCATATAATATATTATATAGATTGAATGTTAACCAAAAACTTGTTTGACTTTATGATAAGTACTATAATTTTAAAATTGTCTGAGGGTCCCTTGCGACCATACTGAGGACACCCCGCAACCCTGATTTGGGTCGCGAGCTGAAGTTGAGAACCGCTGCTCTAAGGTATGGTAGGCCAGTAGAAGGTTTGCCCTCCCAATGCATGTGTGGCTGTTCCTATGACATCAACCACGCCATGGTGTTCAAGAAAGGGGGCTTCGTATGCACGAGGCATGATGAAGGGACCTCACAGCAGCATACATGTTGAAGGAAATCTGCCATGATGTCAGGGTAGAACTGACCCTCCTTCCATTGGTCCATTGGATGGTGAGAATTTCCATCACAGGACTTCAAACACATCCAACGAAGCCCATGTGGACGCCAGTGCTTGTGGATTCTGGACGCAGGGACAGCGAGCCTTCTTTGACATAAGGATTTTCGATCCCATGGCCGCATGTCACCGTAACCTAGCTCTCAATGCTGAACACAGGAGGAACGAGAACGACAAGATTAGGGCATATGGGGAGAGAATTCAGAATGTTGATCGAGGCAGCTTCACTCCTCTGGTGTTCACAACCTCTGGTGGGATGGGACCAAGTGGTGGGACCTGGTAACATCACGAGGTCCACAAATTGGGTACCACCCAAATGCCAGCAAGTCATTCCTCATTGTGAAACCAGAACACTATGAACAGGCAGCGGAGGTGTTCGGTGGAAGTGAGGTCAAAATAAAAAAGGATGGCCAAAGACACCTAGGTGCAATAATCAGCACAAAGGACTTCAAGACCGAGTACGTCACGGGAAGGGTAAATGAGTGTGTCAGGGAAATCCAAGCTCTGTCTGAGATTGCTAACACAGAGCCACATGCGGCTTTTGCGGCATTCACCCATGGAGTCAAGCATCGCTGGAACTACCTGATGCGCACTATCCCTGATATCGGGCCCCTCCTCCACCATCTGTAAGAAGCCATTGTAACAATGTTTTCATGTCCCTAATTTTAATGTAACATATTTTATGTACCAAATTGCTCTTACATTGTCTTTTACTTATTCCTATTATTCTTTCTCGTTATACTCGTGAGAGGTGGAGGGAGTGAGGGAGGTAATTGTTTATGGTTGCTGGTTGGTCCTCCCAAACACACACCAGTCAGGGGAGATTCAGGGAAGCTGGCTAGGGGAACTAAGATACAATACTTCACAGAGGGGAAATATAGGACTCACCGTATTACTGCATAATACCAAGAAATTTATAACATATCACTCATTCTCAATAAGGAAGGGATGAATTCGGACTCTTATTAACGGTTACTGTATTTATTGAATACTTTATATTAGGATTTAACAGCTACACTTCAAAATAGTAAACCTATGTTCCTATCTAGTTAAACGAGGACCACGTATCTCACAACAAATGGGAACTTAAGAATTTACCAAATAGAATACACCAATATACCTGCCACCTCGCCACCACAGACGTCCCATACCTCCCTACATAAAATTCCAACACAGACTATGCTTTTCAAACTGCGTCAGCCCACACGGGACGCTACAACGTTCATGACGTCACACCTCGTAGGCTTTCTCATTGGTCAAAAACAGGCCTAAGGCCTTCACACTATTGGCTCAAAATTGGCGGGAACTCCCGGGTGGAGGGAAACTCATGACATTGTTACACCATCAACGTCAATTTCATTCCAAAATTAGTGAAACACCTTCACTTAACCCCAGCAGAGAGATCAATCCTTGCACTACCACCGAGACTGGAAAGAATGTGATTGACCAATCCAGAGGAGATTGCTACCACCAAACATCAAAACTCAGTCAAGCTCACGGCAGCCCTCACTGACCACATAATAGCTCAGAACGCAACAGGTGGGGTGGATACCAGCGAAGTAAACAAGATTCGACGGTCCATTACGACAGAATGACAGCACGGCCAAAGTGATAAGTTGCAGCAACTGATGCCGCAGGTTCCAGAGAATTTAAAAAAAAGTAGGTCTAGTGCAGGAGGTAGGCCCCTCGAACTGGCTAACTACGTTACTGATAAGGACAAAAGATTTCACTCTTAACAAACAAGAATTTACAGAAGCCATTGCTCTAAGGTATAGTATGCCAGTAGATGGTTTGCCCTCCCAATGCGTGTGCGGATCTTCCTACGACATCGACCAGGCCATGGTGTGCAAGAAAGGGGGCTTCGTATGCATGAGGCATGACGAAGTAAGGTATCTCACTGCAAATATGTTGAAGGAAATCTGTCATGATGTCAGGGTAGAACCGACCCTCCTTTCATTAGACAGTGAGAATTTCCAACACAGGACTTCAAACACATCCAACGAAGCCCCTGTGGACGTCAGTGCTCGAGGATTCATGACGCAGGGACATCGAGCCCTTTTCAACATAAGGAATTTTTATCCCATGGCTGCATGTCACCGCAACCTAGCTCTCGATGCTGCACACAGGAGGAACGAGAACGACAAGATTAGGGCATATGGGGAGAGAATTCAGAACGTTGATCAAGGCAGCTTCACTCCTCTGGTGTTTACAACCTCTGGTGGGATGGGACAAAGTGCAAGATGTTTCTATGCCAGACTCGCGGAGGTGTTATCCGAACAGAAGCAGCAACCCAGAAGTTGTGTTACAGCCTGGTTGAGATGTCGACTGTCCTTCTCTCTCCTTAGGTCTGCTTTGCTTTGCTTTGCCTCAGGGGAGCGAGAGCATCAGCCCCAAAACTGCCAACAGCTGCAGATACTGACTATGAGACAACAGCCCCTGAATACTGCATAGATCTGCGGCTCAATGAACTCAACACAGATAGGGTAGCTACTTATGAAGTAGGATAGTTAATTTTAAGGTAATAAAATAGTGGCAAAGGTGTGGCTATTGGGGGAGGCTGGAGGTCACGTGTCTAAAAAAAAGTGATAGCAGTGGTGTAATTGTTTGGACTTGTAACTTTTTGACTTCTTTTCTTAAAAAAAAAAAAAAAAAAAAAAAGAAAAACTAGAGCTCCAAGAGGCATGTAAGAGCGCTATCACAAAGCAGCACTCTACAGGATAGTGCGAACCGGGATATTACTGTAAATGTACAACTGCTTGGTACACAATAATACATAAGTAAGCAAGACCAACCTTGCTGATGTTGGTGAGGTGGCGGTGAAGGTGGTGCACTGGTTGTGTTAACATCATACTGCGCAGCAGTATTTAGGGGGTTAAGGGGGGATGCTGTGGCCGAGTCCACATATTCAGGCACAGGTGACCCTTCCCGTGACAATGACTCAGGAGTTACCAGCCCACTGATGCCAATGTGTGAGGGAGAGGCTGGCGCAGATCTGCTGTTCACCGAGAAAAGTCAAATTCAACAATTAGTGCTGAAAGTTTAAAATTCTTAATTGTATGGAAAAATATTTGTAAGAAAGGCAAAATTTGCAGTAGAATCTATATGGAAAAAATATTTAGATAAAAGTTCATAACACAAGGTATCTTAACTCTACAATGTAAACAAGTAGCTTCACTTCAGTAGATTACCAACTTATACCACAGAGCTCATGAACATGTGCAGTAAACCATAATCCGGTTACACCAATCTAATTGATGCTAAACAAATATCTGAAGATTAAAAATTATATATATATAATCCTATTTTACCCCTCATAAATGTATGGATGGGTCAGACAGGGTCCAGTTTAACCAGATTTCTGGCTTAGTGACATCTAGTTTCAGAGGGTTTACTGTAATAGATCTCTCTCAAACCTAAGCTAGGACCAAAGAAATCTGTTGTTGAAACATACATATATACAGTACTGGATGTCACACATTGTTTTAAAGATTTCCAAAGCAATATGAATGCTTGTATTACAACATTGACATTGTCCTTACTTGTTGATGTGGGAGGCTTCACACAACTACAGTACAACTGAGGATAATGTCACTGTTACCCAACATTCACACTATCACCATGAAAGCCTGTAAGACAGTGCATTTTTTTTTTCAAAACAGTACAGTATATACAGTGTTCTTAACATCAGGTTCACATTTGGGAATCAAATTCCAAACACCTTATTTATTGAAATTAAACTTGTATTCTCTGTCATATACACTGCTAACTTATGTCACCTAAAGTTAGGAGTCATTTTAGCCTGAAACTTGAGAAATTTAAATCATGTATCTCAAAGTTTGTGAAGTAAAATGTATTTTCACCAATCATTTGAGAAATTTCCATGGTTCAGTCAACCAATCTGAGGATAAAGCAGAAAGTGCCAGAATTTAAAATAGTCAATCATGTCCCTCCATTGTCAGCCTATCACTGACGTCACTCACTCATCCACAGCTAACCATTTTTTTTTAATAAAGAGAAGTCCGTGAATCTTGGTTTTTTAAGTCACTCATAATATGTAAGGTTATTATACTGATATACTGAGAGATGATTCATTAATTTAAGTTCACAAGTCAATAAATAATCCAAAAAGACACTTACAAATATTTAAAACACAATGTGAAGAATTACCATCCCTAAGGTCCCTATCATGGATGTATGAACTTTGACCCAGCCATCTCAGGTCAACAATGAGGTCTTGAGACTAATGTCAGAGTTCACCGAAGAGATAAGCAGATCAGTATTGCATTGATTTATGTAGGATGATTTGAACATACCTTGGTTTATGAGATCATCTCAGTCTGTCTGTGTTTCTCTCTCTAACTGAGTGACAACATTTCAGTGGAACAGCCAAGCTGAGTGGCTGTATACTGTATGTGGCTCTGAGCCATGACTTCACAATACATGGTTTACTGCCACTGACACTTGATTAGGAGGGGGGGGGGTTAGTTAAGGTAGGTAAGTAATATATGGCTAGGGCATAGGAACCAGTAAGCATGCACATGATGTTAGTGTGGTCAATGGGGTCTGGTCACAAGCTCAAATACAATAAAGTTGTGTAATGGGTCACCTACTGAAGTTATAACAGGTTCACTCATGCTAGGTCACTCTTGGTTCTCACTTAATAGGCTGTACTCTTTTGTTTATTTTTTTCCCCTCAAAGAAATGAAGAAGTGATAGTAGTGAGTCTTAACAGTGTGCTGTGATTCATGAAGCTCAAAATTATATTTTCTGAGGTTTGTGGATATCTTCACCTAGTTGTAAATAGTGGTGCAGAGTACTCAAGAAGGTAAAAGTGTGGTATTGGCAAGCATTTAACAAGTGGATGGCTAACAAAGAGTTAAAACACTGGGTAAAAACCTGATGCAAATGATAAGTAAGTTGATTTTGTAGGATGGACCTGTGATCAATTGTGTTTTTTGAGTGCTGGCCATTCTTGGCTTTACCTCAAACCATTATTTATGATGAAGAAGCGGACATGAAGCTCTACCGAGCTCCAATGTTTGGTTAATGAGAAATTTAGCTCCTAATGTAGTTTGTTGACAATATGTGTTCTTTTTTCATTCCCTAGTGATAATGAACTTATTATATACAGTACTACATTATCTTCTTATTGATAAAATGTTTGAAAAGCTATTTTTTACTTCTATACTCTTACATAAGTACATTTCACAAGTGACACTTTAACTTAAGTTAAAAAAAAAATTTACTTTTACGTTAACATAAGTAACACATTTCAGTATTTTACACACCTCTGAAGCCGGAGATATTTAGCTTACAATTGTATTTAACTTTAAATGCTATTGCATGGTAGCTAGAACTAACAGAAAACATGGGCTCTCCATTTCCTGTCATTCATTCACCCTCACTCTTATAAGACGCATGCTTTGCTATGGAGTTCCCCTTCCACAAAACATCTACCTTGTTTATCAGCTGTACATCCATACTCAAAATGTACCCAATGATATACTTTGCAGTTATTTGTGTACAGTTACTACTCAAAAAGAGTAGTTACGAACAATTAGATAATTCTAAATGAACTTAATTACCACTAAAACCCAGCAATGGACAAACCTATTAGAGAGGTGAGTAAAGGGAGTCTTAAAAATAGGAACGCCTCGCTGTCGCCGCCGTTTAAACGCCTGGTCTACTAATTTACTCTCAGACGCTGGGTCAATTTTCCAGAAGCTGCCCTTCCCTGGCTCTTCTTGAGACCGTGGGACTTTGACGAAGTATCGATTTAATGACAGGTTATGCCGGATAGAGTTCTGAAATGTAAAAAGTCATGAGTTCTGAGACAGAACTGTGAATATTAATGACACTACTCCATATTTTGCACTGTAAAGTCTGCAAGTAAATATAATTTTAGATCTGAAAAATTGATAAGATATCAAACACTTAAGCAATGTGTGCCTTCAATAACTTTTTTTCACACTTAAGTTAAGGACAAGTGGTTTGCTTTTAGATTCTGTGGCCTCATGAACCTTAACCCCTTCACTACAGGGATCCCACTTTTAAGATTTTATTTGGATAATGCCAGACGATTATATTCAGCATAGAGGGGATCCCGTACACACATGATTAATTCCTCTAACACCAACCAGGTTCATTTGCCACAAAAAGTTCTTGAGCAGCTGGGCATGACAGATTACAGAGTGAGCACTATGGCTCGTGTCATCCCAAAATGGCTTATGTGCCTGGTTGCGAAGTTACTCAATATCTTGTAATAATATATGTTGCTCTTCTTTATAGTATTTACAGATGAATAGTAGTACCGGGTAATCTAATTTGCAATAAAACTTCCTCAGAGAGCAATGTTCAGGTTTCTCATTCGTTTTGTCATATTGTATGATGCTTAGAGCCTTCGAAAACTTTTTGTGGCAAATGTACATGTTTATTGAATAAGATTAATAAATTAATTTTTTCTGATCAAATAATGTACTAAATTAAATCTTAGAGATAAAATCACAAGTACTGTACTGGGCAAAATACAATCTGAAAAAAAAAATTAAATAAATTGTTTGGCATATGAAGTTTTTGTATTTTTTCAGTCATCTTTAGTTATCATGAAAATTGGGGATTGATCCTAAAATGTAATTTTTTTAGCCAAACCCAGGAGGCTCTGATTACAGTAAAATCTCGATATATCGGACTTTAATACATAGGAATTTGGTTTTTTGGGACTCTGATGTGCTCCGAACTGCCCCTCTATTTACAGAAAATATATTTTTTAAAAGTCCTGAAAATCATGCATCAGTCCAGAGTTTATGTTCGTATGTGTATGGGTGTCACACGGCACGTGCTTCAGTCTGAGTCCCGCATTCATACCTATCAACAGTGCATTGTACCTCGCTACCTACACTCATTTACATGAACTTTAAGTGACTTACTACAAACTTTTGTGTTATGAAGGCTTCCCCTACTCCATCAACATCTTAAGTATCTACAGTAATACTGTATTAAGTTTGTACAGTTAACATTAATTATAGTTTGGAACCACATACAGTACTTGTATTGTTAATTTGTAAATAGAAAATGATTACTGTCCAGTTTAAAATTTAAGTGCCAAACAATTACTATAATGTTCTGTAAAAGTAATTCAGATTAAATTGTACCTCAACATCATAAGTGTGTTATCTACTTCCACTATTGAGTCTACCATGTACAGCATCTAATAAAGTAAATTTAAACACCTTTATCAATTTTATACATTTTGTTGTTTAATCCATAAATGATGGCAATAGGTCTAACAAAGCTAATATTTACCCATTCTACACATACTGTAACTGTCACCAGCTACAAGCCACCATCTTACCAAATTCCACAACCAATATGCCATTTGTATCAAGTTTCCAATTAACCAACCACTGAAATCCAAAGCACTTAAATCACTATCGTGTCCAAATCTCAGCTTCCTGGTTCAAAACGTGACTGGAATATTAACCAAGCGAAAAAAAAAAAAAAAAACAGAGCAACAACTGAGGGCCCACCTTTTGCATGCACTTAGCTAGCTCCAGGAAATGAAGTCCCATGACCAAAGCTTTACAAGTAACAATAGAACTCCCCACTGCCTTGTAATGAATACAGTTTTAATTTCAATGTTTTATGTTAAATCTTAAAAGAGAAATGAGTGGGAGAGGAGGAAGTGAGTGAGATGAGTGGAGGTGGCCAGTACATGGGTGGGATGAGAAGAGGAGGCAGATGGATGGGGAGAGATGGAGTCCTTTCCTCATCATTGTGTGTGGCAAAGGGCAGGAAGGTTAGGATTATTAGATATAATAAAGGAGGAACAAACACCAATATTTATAGAGATGGCTTGGGGAACACTACTATTAGTCAATAAATAAGAAAATTGAGGATTGGTCAGTCTTATTTACTTAAGAGGAGAGTTCGGTTTTTGGTGTAGGTGCTTTTAATTTTGGTCAATTGTTATGATATTCCTGTCATCAATCAAGGATCATATGTACATCATTTCTAGCCCCATAACCCCCTTCTACCCTTTCAAAATTTTCAACCCTTTACACATTTTCTCACATTTGTCTAAATTTTCAAGGTATAATTTCTCCATTACTTTCTATTTTGCCTTGAAATTGATCGTACTAAGATTTCTAGTATTGCCATTGAATATTCCAGAGCGATATGTTTGTTTTTGTCTTTGGTTTTAAGGATAAAAAAATTTCAACTTTAGTTGAAAATTTTTTCAAAATATCAAGATTAATATTCAACCAAAAATAAATCTTACAAGATAGAATTTTTTTTTTACTCTGGAGTAATGTTGAGGAAAGGTTCTTCCTATGCTGAGTGTTTGTTTCATTGAAATCGGTCAAAAACTGGCAGAGAAATTCCAATCTGAGTGTTGGAAAAGTTCATTTTGAGATATAGGCCAATAAAGTTTCTCAACCTTTCTCCCCTGTGTAAGTGCTCATTCTGAGCCAATTTTACATGTAAGGTAATATCTTATTTTGTTGTGTATTTTTATATCTCCAACTGAACTCCTGTTATATTCTTTACGTGAGGTCGTGGGGAGGGGTGGAAGGCTGGGGCTGGGCTGCATCAGGTGCCCCCTGAGACGGCTGTTACCGTCGCTATTTTAGCGAATGTTTTCTTCTTTCAACCACTTGGTTTTAGCAGTGCTCTTGGCACGTGCTTCCTTTAGTTGTCTTTTATGTTTTGAATCACATGTCATCGTGATGTTTGAGGAGAGAAGCCTGGTACAGCAGTACAAGTGAGGTAAAATGTGCGGTGCAGCAGAGTGCACACCTCTCCTTAACAAGGTCCGAGACATACTGATGACACGTGTGTCTACCACCTCCCTATACTCACAAGAGGAAGAGAGTTGCCTGAAATGAATTTCTAGTCTATTTTGTGCTATTTATTCCGATTTGGGGTGGGGGGGAGGATATTTTACCACGATCATTCATATGTCTACCCAAGGAAGGTTGGGGGAGGGGCGAACCATATATAACTGCATAAAAATTACGAATATTGCCATAAAACTCCAACCAGATACAGTGATAGGCAACACCTTTGCTCGGGAATTTTTTTCATATTTTATGATTTTTTTCAATCGATCTAAGCCAGATGCTCCTCTTGATAAATATTCCTGAAAGGATCCGTGTTCATTCTAGGAATTAACATTTTGCTTTTCTCAAGATAAATTTCACACACACACACACAGTATCATAATGTATGTCATTGGTACAGGTAAACCTCGATTTACAATGAGGGTTACGTTCCTGAAAACTACATCGCAAATTGAGTTCCCTAAAATGGCTGGCAAGCGTAAAAGTGAGAGTTCTCGTGGTGCAGAGAAGAAAAAGAGACACCCATTTTAGATTTTCTATGTATTATTTTCGCATTTTCGACTTACGAGCTGGTCGTCGGTCCCTAACCCCTTCGTAAGTCGAGGACTGTCTGTATACAGTACTGCATACAGTAACAGCAAATGTGAGGAATAAATAAAAATAATACCCTGTACCAATAAACAAGTTACAACAAAAAATACTGTATTGCCAAACCAATAAATAAAAGTAAAATGAAAGTTTAACACAGTCACCATTTGCATATAAGTTGTGGTTCACAATAGCAACGTGGACGCTACTTACGCCGATTCCCTAGCAATGCTCCACCTCCCCACATGTCCCGCCTCCTCCTGCCCCCCACTGAGTCAACTAACTTTTGTGCAAAGAAATGTATATTCCCTTCGTGTATTTGCCCTAGGACAATTACTTCTTTTACTTTTTTTCACAATATGTAGGTAGGATGGTGCATGCATGTAAATGAGAAAAAATAATCGGTGAAAGTTACGTATATCTACCCGAAAAAACGAGTTGAAAAACAACCATAACACCAGAGGGCCTGGTGGTTATAGTGACAAGTCTAACCAAGTTACAATGCTGCCAGCAATGTTAGCAGACACAAATGTGAAAAGAAAATTACATTATATATAAATCTTCATTTGTATCAAGTTTCTGTAGATTTAAAAATAAATGTTGCAGGTATGGCATTGTAAGGGTTCAGAAATAGTTACTGCTTAGCTACTTCTGAAGAGTTGGGTGTCTGCCGCGCAAACGTTAATCAACTCAGGTTATCATCATCAGTACAGTAGTTATAAATCGAGCTTTTATATTTACAGTATTTTTTTAATTAATTACAAATAATAATAAGGTCTAAGTAAGCAATGACATATTTTTAATTCTGAACTTGGATAAGGTAGAATTTAGCCAACCGGAGACAGCAACGGGAGGATTCATTAGCTTATGGAAGACCTCAAATTCACATATAGGCTGCAGACTGATTCTTTTTTTTTTTTTGCCATTTTTCAGACAAAAAAAAGTTTCTTATATGCCATAAAATATGGTAATAAAATAAATAAGTTATATTAAATAATAATAATAATAATAATAATAATAATATCGTACATACTCGTCTATAATCCCCCCTCGTTTATAGGTTAACCCTGATTTTTTGACCAAGAAATCGTTAATTTATGATATTCCTCGTTTATAGGGCGACCCAAGTTTTTGAGGGTAATGGAACAACAAAACCTTCACCAAAAACACTCTACGTCCTATAAATTGAGGCTCGCCGTGCCTGAAACACGAGTGCAGAAGGCAATTTGTTTACCATTTATTATTACGACACTTTATGCTGAAACGCGGGTAGTTTCAACAAAAATATTGTATATCTACATTCAAGTATTTATTCAAGTCAATTAGGAGGGAATATTATTGTCATACAACAGTTTATTTTAACTGAAAACCATTCG